AAACCCAAAACCCTAAACCCATCTAGCATGGCCGAGCATTGAACTGGGCCTCTCTTGGGTCTCTTCTTCTCCTCCGGGCTTTTGAGCGGCACTCTGGGTGTCATGTCCTCTAGGGTTTAGGGTTTAGGGCACTCTGGGTGAGAATCGAGGCTTGCTAGTGTAATGTAGGGGCCATATAGTTAGAATAGGGTTTTGGGACTTCTAACTATGATAATAGTATAAGATACCCCCAAACCCTATTCCAATTTTTGAGGCTCCTATATTAGAGATGGGTGCCATTGTTTTGGGGAGCACGGGGTTTAAGGGACCATGGGGTTCGCATGTCACTTGCCACCCGACTCGGTGCCAGCGCCCTCGGTGCCAGCGCCCCACGGGCAGAATTCGTGATGCTGAGACCCTGGGCATGTTTTCCATCCAGAAGGCGGCTTTTCCGCACGTCAGAACGTGCACAGCATAAGATTCAATCACCGAGGCAGGATACCATCCAGTGGCGGTTCTATGCTTTGATGGAGACTAGTGCACTGCTATCCATGGCCAGCTGCTCATGCAATTCCGCACTATATGATCGTCTTGCTTTGGCTTCCTGCATCGTTCCAGCCACGAGCGTCTTGAGTCTTGACCCTCCTGTGTCGGGTTGTCACCGATCCCACCAACTGAAAAACGCAGTGATGGCTTAAACTTCTGGCATGGTTCGGGGTTTCATGGCAACTGCACTGTTTAGCCCAACGTCCCAAACCCTAAACCTAAAGCCCTAAACCCGCAACAGCCAGACTACCCAAAAGCTACGTGCTGTCTGGTTCCCATCGAGACTGTGCAGAAAGCCGCTTCTAGGGCCCAAGTCCTTTGGGTGTAGGTGTTCACAGTTCATTGTGCAGGGCAGAGGTTTTGGGGTTTTGCGTGCTTTGTCTTCGGATTCTCGGTTCAGTAACAGACAAGAACGACAAGGAATTGGATTTGGGGGTTCGGGGCCTTAGGTGCTTTAGGGGGTCAGTGTTTGGGGAGGATCGGGGTGAAGTTCAGCACACTGCTTTGGGTATGGACCTGCAGGGTTCTGGGTTTCAAGGTTTTGGGTTCGCGGTTTCGGGGGTCTACACTAAACCCTAGAGCCAAACCCTAAACCCAAAGCCATAACAGAGACTCGGGCCAACAGGTGTGAACTGCAAGTGCATCCTAAACAACCTAGGTTTAGAGTTCAGGCTTCAGGTTTAGGCGGTTTCGGGTGCCTAAACTCAACAGAACCGAATTGAACCACAACCCCAATCAGCCTTTATACATGCCAAGTGTGTACATCTTGAGCCCTGCCGATCTTGTTCCCAAGCCAGCCAAACTCGACGACGCCCTAAACCCTAAACCCTAAACCCTAAACCCTAACTTTCGAAGCAGAGCCTCATCTGCACCTTCATCCCCTGGCTGAGATGTTCATGAAGAGGGGCCCGCTATCAAAGAAGAACGAGGTGCTGGCAGTGCCAGGCCATGAAAGGGGCGCTTTTGCAGGTCTGGGTGTTTTAGGATTTAGGGTTTAGAGGTTTGAGGTTTAGGGTTTGGGGTTTAGAGGTTTGAGGTTTAGGGAAGGGGGGTCACCTGTGTCTT